GTTCTGACAACGTGCCAGACACCCATCCAACGCTTCCAGAGGCTGCCAGAGCAATTCATCCTTCAAACACTGCTCCCCTCTATTCCTGGGAGATCCTCCTAGGAGGTACAGGCTGTACCGTACCAAAAAGACATTTTTATCATCATTTAAGTAACTGGTCCAATGAACACCTTCAGTTCTTGAAGGCAACCATGAACCGGCCACCTAGAAAGCTGTTTAGTAATTCAGATTTACGGTCCAGTTTTATTAGCACATCATTCCTGGCAAACGCACCAAGATTCATTACAGCATTTTAGGCATTCAATCATAAATTAAATCATATATTAAATAAAAGTGGACCTGAAAACATAGTCTCATTTTGGCAGCAAGGGGATTTATGACTTTGGACCAAGGTAGTTTTAAGCTCGGCCACGGTTGTGTCTTTAACATGAGAGCATAAATAGGACTTTCCCCCCGCCCTAAAAGCGCTAATTGAAAGAAATGTCCTAAAATTAAGTGCAAGTTAAAGGGAGGGGAGAAAAAAAGCTGATTTTCAATTAAAGGAGCTTTGCCAAGCTGGCACACAGAAGGGCTGTTCACTTTTCAACTTTACAATGACAGGGAAAGGTTATTTCACATTTACTGCTTCTCGATCAATATGCAATTGTCTAAGGTATTACTTAATATATTATACTGCTTTTCAAAGTAAGAGTAAGAAAAGGAATGGTTACAATGTTTAGGTCAGCAATGCCTTTGAAGTCCGCAGGATTAATTTCACAGGGAACTACTTAAGGAGCAGAGAAGTAATCACCAAAAGTAAGAGTAGACAGACTTGGGCTAATACGGATTAACGAAAAATAGAAAGGACCACGGAAGCGAGAAGTAGCACAGGCGACTTTCACATCAAATAAACACAGCAGTAAAAACTGGAGAACTAAATCAGAAATAAAGTGTTGTACGCTATGCAAAATTCAAAACCTTTTTGCGGTCAGCAATGCCAAGGTTTTTACTTTTCCTTCTTGAAAGTTTTGTTAGCGTTGCCGTCAACGTGACAATTTCTTAGACACAAATCATAACAGAGGAAATGAAGGGAAAAAATGAGTAGTTATAGAGTGTTTCTATCAATAGAGAGGAAAGCAGACGCTTCTGCAGTGGGAATGGGCTCCTCCATCCTTTGGAGCCCTCATCAGGATCCTCAATGCTGGACTGAAGTTTCCAGTTTGGCAGAAGGCAAGCAGAACGTGGAAACTAATACAAATTTAGCTCTAATCTCCATCCTTTGGAGCCCTCATCAGGATCCTCAACGCTGGACTGAAGTTTCCAGTTTGGCAGAAGGTAAGCAGAACGTGGAAACAAATACAAATTTAGCTCTAATCGGACATGAAGTACCACTGTTGGAATCATCACAGACTGTATTTCGAGGCGACTTTGCAGAAGATGTATGAGGTCTGAACACGAAGCCAAGACCTGATGGCCCAGCGTATCAGAAGTTATCGCAAATCAAACCATTAGTAGGAAAATCTCATTCTGCAGCACTCTCTCTTCCTCTCTGATCCTTTGCATTTCTGCGCACATAAATCACAAATGTAGCTGGCAGGCACCGGTCTCCATTTGAAAAATGACTGCCATTCCTAAGACGTGACGCAGCTGATTGTAACTCAACCACCACATGGTATTTCAGCAAAGTAAATACTTCTTCACAACAAGAACAGTCCCATGCTCCCGTCCCTCCAGCTGGGAAAAAATGTAATGGGTTTAAAAGGCCACCAGCAACTATTAAGGGCAATTACCTGTCAGGTTACCAAAAAAACTACTCAAACAGAAGAAATAAAGACTACAAAGTAAAAGATGAGAGATTGTAGCTTAAAGGGTGCTATCTGCTACAGTAACAAATTCTATTATAGTCTATATAAACAGTCTTAGTCTATGTAGTAGCTATATAGTAGCTATATAGTAGTTATATAGTATCTCTAGTCTTCTCCAGAGCACAAAGGACACCTACATCTTACAAACAGATGAGGACTAAAGGAAGAGTTGCTTTTATAGCTGAAGTGCAACACTTAAGTGGAAGTTAACGCAAACTCGTGTTACTGCCAGCAGAAAAAGAAAATAATTACGCTGTAGATTCCTTATACCCTAAATTAACAATTTGAAAGCAAGCAGGGAGTCATTCAGGTACTTTTTCCTTCAGAGCACGCTCATTTGCTTGAAAAGATTCTGCATGAAAGGCACTGTACAAATAACTTCTTTCAGAGAAGCACTTGACCAAGAATAGGTTACTTCTGTTAGTTTGGCCCCAAAACCGACCAGCTTTCAAGGAAGATGCACCTGAGAGTATCTTTCCTTCCCAAATCAGAGGTGAAGCGCGTTGCAAGGAAGCTTTGCGAGACTCGGCAAACCTTGTTCCTTCAAGAGGCAAGATGTTGCCATCAGATGATCAGTGTTTGTCCCTTTACAAGGCTGAAGCTTCCAAAATCCCATCTGTTACTGGGTAGAAAACTCATTGCAAGTAAGAAGCTGCAAACCATTTGTCTCTCACGTATGCTTCCCTAAAAATGCTACAACTTCCCATCTCGCACGCTCTGCTGTCTGCCATTTCAGACTCAGCCCATATGCCATCCGTATTACCCGTGCTAAAGGTAGCAGTCTCCAGCTTTAACCAACTGGGGACAAAATGAGAAGGCAGCAAATCAGTTTGAATCAACAAATCTGTGGAATAATCCAGGACATGAACCATTCTGAGCTGAAACACAAAAAATCAGACAAGTGACACTGAATCACGCTGGTTACTTCTTGGAATTTTTGGCTGCGTTGGTATGAGTTACAGGGCTGCGTTTAAAATAAATGCAAGTAGCTGTAAATCAGTTTCCAAAGCACACATTAACAGTCACAATGCATGTGTTCTTTCTTGAAAGTGTGAACTTTTATCTTTACACTTCACAACTATCAGCTTACTCATGCTGGTTGTGAATGGAAGTTGTTACCATCTAATGGCCTATATCATACAAATCAATGGCATCAGCCTCGTTACAATCACCCTCATAATTGGTACCAACAGACGCCTTGGTTCACAGGCAGATCAATGGCCCAGGAGACTCACACTTTCCTCTCAATCCTCATCAACTTCTGCAAATTAAGCCCCAAACCAAGGAGGACTGGCACCTGAGCGCAAAGCTCCAGCACAGCACAGGATGCAACTGCAGATAGGAAACGGACAACATCAAACTGATGAAATTACAATTCCATTAATGCCACATATCAAATACTGCCTGATAAAGCCAGTCACTGCATAAACAATTCTGTTTACTGCTGTGGATTAACCCCATCAGCTCTGGAAGTGAATTAAATGCAAGAGCTGAAGCATTACTGACTCTACGTCAGTTTGGTCCATGTGTCTTCATAGAGGGGAAATAAATACTTTTTCACACAGCTGTCTGAACACACAGAAGCAAGGGGATACTTCCCACTGGCACATTTTCTGATTGGGAACGTAAGGAAAGAGGCAGTTTTATCCCTTCACCCTGCTTACTCACAAACCAGTGCCCTTTCTGGAAGGGGAGCTGTCATAATCAGCAGATGGCTCAAACCAGCACAAAAAACTCACCCCGGAAGCCAATAAAAAAAGAAACTAAAGGAGTGCCTCTGATTCATCCTTCTGCCCAAGGCCATCTTGAGGTAGAAGAGAGCCTTGCTCAAAGGTGTGCTTAAAAAGTCCCACCATCATTCAGCGCAGCCAATCATACTGGCATTATATAGCTTACATGACTATAATATTATGACTATAATATT